TGTTAGTTGAGTTACTGTTGTTTTGGTATAAAAAGAAGAGTTGAGGACACCCACTATGGAAACTGTGCCAGCACAGAAAGCAACGGCTCAATGGTCACAACAACCTTAGACTTAAAGAGCTGTAGTGGATAAATGAGATGACAGGATGCCAGTAGTGTGGCGAGACTTTAGACTCAGAGTGTGGCCACAGAAGTGGATGAGATGAGTCCTGCTCAAAGTCCAACATGAAACCTATTGGTGGTGTATACTATTATCTCCAACATCAACAAACAGATAAAATACTGCAAATAAACTCACTTTATCCCCTGAAGCTGTGTGTGAAGCCTGCACAGTGCAAGCACATGAAACACCATCACATACACTGATCCACTAAGAACAGGCAATAAAGTTACCACCACACAACAAACTCACCATTTCATCTGCTTTATCCCAGACATGAAAAACATTGGATCTATTCCAATTTATAATGAATTTAACTTGTAAACATAAACGTGTAGTTGTATATGTGTAACTTTGTAACCCAGTGGTAAACTGTCCATAATTTCAAATTGGATGACATAATAATGCATAAAATTCAACAAATCCAAGTTGTATTATGTAAGTATATAAGTTGTATATTGCTGCAGTGAAAACTATTGATACATTCACTCAATTCCCATGTTTGTTTTTAGAAAGATTAATGTATCCACATTGTCATTTTTTGGCCTTTATTCTGGTAGCCACAGTGAGAGAGAGACAGGAAAGTCAGGGAGAGAGAGAGGGGGTAACATGCAGCACAGGGCCACGGGTCAGATCGAACCCGGGCCGCTGAGGTTAGAACTAAGCCTTTATGGTATGTGCTCTACCAGCTTGGCTTATATGAAAGACAAAAATAACTTGACAACTTTTTTGCCATATCATCTTCCATGCATATTATATATATGCACCAACATGTCTTTCATGTCTTCTTTTTCACAACCCACAGCACTATACTCCAGTTCATCAACTACCATGTCTGAAATTCAAACCATTATGTGTAGGTTCTTCTTAGGTTCAACAAATTGCAGCCTTTTAAGCATGTTAAGTCCAGGTTGAAGGAAAATATAAAAAATATAAGCCAGAGTTGCACTGGCTGTTGTCTTCTCTCCTCCCCTATCAGTTGCTCAGTGACCACAGTGACAGCCATTTTCTTGCACTTATTCTGTGAATAATTACAAAATAAATTATTATGACACGTTACATTTGGATATCACTTTGGTGTCATGATAGTCTAGCTAAAGAGAACCAACCAGAACTAACCAATATCATCAAGCTCCTGGAATACTATCAATGTTCTGCTGCCACCAGAATACAATGTCAGAACGTTCATCACATCAGTTTACACAGTGCACCCATGGTAACTGGCCATGACAGAGTCAGTGCACGGGCCACAGTGAACAGACACAGAAACTACTGCACTGATTCAAAGCATGAGTCACCAGAAGACATGGCAACAGTGGATTTGACTTCTGATTGGCTGCAATCAAATGAAAAAATAGAAACTGTGTCTCACTCTTGGTATTTGGACTTGTCTAAAGCACAAACTGATGACGGATGGTCAGAGTGTGGAACACAGTCTTCCCGTCTGGTTGACACTGAGGGGAACACAGTGTTCCAGCCAGCACAATACAAGCTGTGTTCAGCTGCGGAGCTCTGACACACATACACACACTCTAATTAAATACACAGCCGCATAACACAAGTATACATCCCTATGAAATACTGCTTGTTGTGGCGCTACAGTATCTAGTGTGTGTCTGTGTATCCGTCAGTATTAATATGTGTGATGTGTGGGTGTAAATTATGAGTCAGTATTGAGAAGTGTAAAATCAGTCAGAGAACAGACTGTGGCTGCATGTGTTGGCTTTGTGTTCACATTAAACCCTGGCAGTGTCAGATCCATATGGAGCACAGCACCCAACCCTGGCTGCTCTCTAGGGACAATGATACTCCATGGCTGTAGTATCCAGCCTAGAGCTAATTGTGAATGACAAATTCCTCATTAACTAATAAGATCCAGTTAAAATGTGTACATCTGCCAACAGACAACGTAGTCACAGTTCTGTTTTAACAGAAGCCTTTTATTCACATCAAGATCGCAGGTAGTTCTTTCATGTGTGAACTGCTCTGCAGCTAAAAGCTGTGATATGAGACAGCACAGCCAAGAACCTCCTTTCAAACCAAATGTATGTACCATCAAATGTACACATGTGCCATCATTCAACTGTAAAGCAGCTATAGGCTGGCAGGAAGTACAACAGTTCACAATCTCTACAATTCTTACATTTTTCTGAAATCAACAATACCAGGTGCCACAGGTATGCATGAGATGAACAGTGTGCACACAGCTGGGTACAGGTGCAGGACAAAAAACAGCAACAAAGGGAAAAAAGAGACAATCTGCACACTGCAATTTCCTAGCTCCAAAGCCTTTGTCTGACTCTGTCTGTGTACAGCCTGTCTCTGTTCACAGGGATGTTCGCTTGACAATGACCTTGCAGATTGGAACAAACTCTGGATATGCAGACAGCCTCTTCTTTGATCATATAACATATGATATTGGAAGTGTATTAATAATTCATGATGATAGAACATATCAGACATCTTTTGCAAAACGATTTGCCAATGTCACGGGAAGCAACTTCTGGTTACAGAACTCATGTAGTCTCACAAAAGGTGAGTCTGGGTCAATGAACTTAACTTTGCTCTTACATTAAATGATGGTTTATCTTATAACTGTATTGTAGAAAAACTTTAAACATAGGTACTAATTAACAAGGCTGACTTTAAACCTCTTTCAACCATCACTTTAGTTACCTCTAAAATCAGACCTGGTTCAACTTTCCAAAGAATGGCTGCATTTTAAGTAGATAAAGCAAATTTAGTTCCTCTAACAAGCTAAGAAATACGATTAAACCAAACTGAATTTCGGAAGCAATACTGCATGAAGAAGAATGGAGGCATCTCTGTTGTGCTTTCTAACAACATTTCTGAAGCCAAAGGTCATATAAAATATGATGGATGCTCTTTTTAACCAGCCATCCTTTAGTCTATTTTTATAGAAGATATATATAGTTATATTTAAATGGTTTAAAACATTAAACTGAGTTTCACTAACCTGTAAAACAGAAAATTCTCATTTTATGTTATATCTCATTTGAACAAAAGTGTTCAAACAAGATATAATGTGTTAATAAGTGAGCTTTAGAGGATTTTGTTGCTGTTGGATAGAGTCAGGCTAGCTATCCCCTATGTTTGCAGTCTTTGTGTTAAGCTGAGCTAACTCTCTGCTGGCTGTCGCTTCATATTTACCGTACAGACCTAAGAGTGGTATTAATCTTCCATTCTATTAATCTGAGAAAGAAAATAAGCATGTTTCCTAAAATGTCCCTGTATTCCTTTATATCTAAGCATACTGTTAGTTAAAATCAATCTTTGTATCAAATGGCTTTACTGAATTACTAGATATACAGTGGCTTCACAAAGTATTCAGGCCCCTTCACTTTACTATGTTGTAACTATAAATGGATACAAAAAGAAAACATGTTTTTAGAAATTGTTGCAAATTTATAAAAAAAAAATGAAAAGATGAAATCTCTCATGAACAAAAGTATTCAGGCCCCTTGATTCAGTTACAGCTTCCAGTTTCCTGGGTTAGTCTCTACAAGACCTTGGCTGGTCAACTCACAGTCAGAGACTTGTCCCGAAGCCACTCCAGCCTTGTCTTGGCTGTTGGCTTCAGCTCATTGTTGTGCTGAGAAGTGAACAGTAGCCCAAGTCTGAGCTCACCTGCACTCTGGAGCAGGTTTTCTTCAAGGACCTCTCTGTATTTGGCTGCATTCATCCTTCTCTCAGGTCTGACTAGTCTCCCTGTCCCTGCTGCTGAGCAGCACCTGGTGTTCACCAGACACAGAACTTGGAGCCCAGAGGGTTCAGTTTTTGTCTCATCAGACCAGAGACTCTTGCTCCTCAGTACAATTTACCAAAATGTGTACGAATAATTGTTGAATCATTATTCAACTTGGTTTTGTAATAACTCACAGCGATGGTTGTAACCTTTGATGCCAGACTGTCCAGTTGTGAAGGTTGTAGTGTCTGAAGATAGGCGGTTCTCACTGGAATTTGTTGTTGTGAGGAGAGACTAACCATGACCTTGTATTCATTGCAGTTTGGCATAATAAGCTGGTGGGGGGAATAGCAGTTTCTATTATGTTTCTCACGTGCAGAGTCTGTTCCTGGGCCCAGAATAAATATGTTCATTTTAGTCAATGGTGCCTGAGCAAAGAGTGATTTTTAATTATTAATCACTCATCCTCTGAGTCCTCAAAGCAGGCTGGCATATACCTTTTACTCACAGTGGCTTCTGTCTATCCACTCTACAATGAAAGCCTGACTGATTGAGTACTGCTGAGATGGTCGTCCTTCCAGCAGGTTCTCATCTCTGCAGAGAACAGCTGAAGCTCTGTTAGAGTTACCGCTGGTTCTTGGTCACCTTTGAGGGCGGCATTTCAGTTTTTATTTTTGATAGTGGTAATAGAGGTAGACAAGTAATGCACAGGGAGAGAGGGGGGTTGATGGTAAGGGCCCAGCCTTGACACGTGGTATGTGTTTAACCAGGTGAGCTCCTGCTGTACCTGGTCTAAATAGCTTTGTAAATGACAGAGTTCAGTTTTTGATTTTTAATAAAGTTGCAAATAATCTCTGAAAACTTGTTTTGTTTTCACTTTGTCATCATAGGTCACTGAGTGTAGACTGATGGGCAAAATGGCAATTTTACCCATTAAAACAACAAGGTGTGCAAAAAGTGAAGGGTGTGAATACTATTTGGAGCCACTGCATCTGGTGGGCATCTGTTCCAGATATATGGCACTGTATGGGTGGTAGTTACTTAAACAGAAATCAGTAGTAATCAGGCACAGCAAGCTACTTCACAAGGCCTGACAGTGATTCGGTGTATTCATGAGCGTGAGTGTGATTATTACCTGGTATGGCTGGAAGGTTGAATGGTCCGAAAGGAAGTCCAGCTGTTGGTCTAACAAGAATTCCACTGCTGTTACTGACGACAACAGGCTCTTCCCCACCACTGGCTTAAACGCCTGCACACACAAAACATACAACATGGTTAGCAAAAGGACAGCTTATTTCTATCAGCAATCTGATCAAATCATCACATCACAATCAATTTAGGGTAAGTGATTTGTAGAATTCATCAATTCTGCAATAAATATGTAATAAACAACAGATGTATTGTTTATTTTGGAGCTGCAATTTCATATAAAAAATGCTGTAAACCAGAGGAAACAGAGAAAAGAAGGAAGAAAGATGAATGACAGAGCAACATAAAAGATTAGAGAGAGAAAAACAAGATGAAGGGAGAGAGAGAGGGGGAGAGAGAGGGATGGAGGAGAAAGAGACAGAGAGCAGGGCATAGAAGGAGAGCTCCAGAGTGGTGAATAAATTAATGAGCAGAGGAAGTCTGACAGTTCAAAGGCAGAACACTCCACTTTGATGTTGCTTCTTTTACCCACACACACACACACACACACACACACACACACACACACACACACACACACACACACACACACACACACACACACACACACACACACACACACACACACACACACACACACACACACACACACACACACACACACCGATGATGTCTGTCAGCCTGCGGTCTGAGCTCAGCTGTTACTGCACATACAACACAGAGAGCAGTGGCTTCCATACTTCCTCTTAATATCTGTGCGTGCTGATGTGACTCTAATGCACTCACGCTATTTACAGCTACATTCATCACTGTGCAGAGGTAGTCTTGAAGTTTCTTTACAACCACATCACTTCTCATTTTTTATTTTAATATCAGTACATCAGTCAAGTATACACTGTGTGTGTCTGTGTGTGTTTAGCGGCGTTCAGTGCGGCCATCATTTATGGTTATATAACCCGGTCAGTCTAATAGAGAGATGAGAGATTAGAGGTGAGAAACATGACCGCTGTGACCCCCCTCGCTGACAGACACACACACACACACACACACACACACACACACACACACACACACACACACACACACATCCACAGGAGGCAGCAGGCAGTAGGACATTGTGCTTGCAAGCAAAACATGATAGTGTGTGTGTCTGCAGCTCTATTTCTGTCTGTCTATACATATCACATTTCCAGCCTGCAGTGGCAGCATGCAGCCAGCAACGCAGGCCACACTGCTGCATGTTATTTTAGAAATTATTGGTATTTATTTTAGTAAGTGACTGAGTCCTGACCAGCATCCCATTCAGTAGAATCATTAGAATACCACACTGACAGTAAGTGTGCTAACACACAACAATATCCCACTTCAGATCAAATTCAGGACATGATGTTTGTATAAATAACCTGGGTATTTACGTGATTCTGATGTATATCTGTTTCTATCTAATTTTATTTCTCAAACCTTTTGTGTCTGAACTGACTGAGCCTCATCAACAATTGTGGATGGACTCATGATATATTTTTTTGGCTACATGTAGACTGCTGAATTTACAGGAGCTTCTCTGTCTGTTCTCCAGCAATGGAACACAAGAGCAACAATCAAATTTATCGTTTGCATAACCACTGTCAGACATTCACTTTCATTTTATGCAGATGTTACCATGCCATAGCATCGCAGCCCATATCTGAAGAGACCACTATATTCCTTCAGAACTGTTGGATGGTCAAATAGCTTCTGTATATCCACTTTTTCACACACAGATTTTAGCTCTGTGTAAAAAACACAGCCTACAAATTCATTTGAGTGTCAAAGCGTCAGGAGTGCCTGTGCAGAGGGCTCCAGTGAAGAAAGGCAGTGTCATGCCAGACCACAACAACATCTGATAAGGTGCTGCTCCGGATGAATTGCTTTGTGCCACAAACACTGAATGTCTACTTTTTAGCACACAATCATCATGACAAAAGATCAAATAACTGCCACCATGAAAACTTTCCACTTGCAAAATTGTATCTCATAGTACTATAAACCACTGTGTAGTACTCAGATACTCGGACTTCAGAACTTCCTGAATTCTAGTTCATTGTCTGACCAGTAATTGAAACAACACGCCTCCACCAGCACAATTCCTTGTATTTCTCTCAGGGCTGGTTTTGGTCTGAAGGCCCACTAAGGGGTTATCCAGGTTCTGAAACCAGGATTATATCGTTTACATGTGCGCAACAGGGATACTGGGAAAATCTGGTCAGAACGGGGACACTAGAGTAAACACACTCAGAGAGGATAACACTTTACCATGCCAAGGGAGATTCTCACATATAAATCCATCAACAGCGCAAACCTAACAGCCTTTTACTCTTCACAGAAAATTAAACTGCTGCAACAGTGCGCAGAGTCTGTGTGATCAGCCATCAGAGGCGAGAGTCTCCACTGTACATGCTGCATTTATAACCTGGATCCATTATAGATGCATGATGGGAAAGATTTATGAGAATGGCCACCACTAACAGCCTGGACGCAGAGCAGAGATGATGCAGAAGTAGGATGGAACCTTGACAAGGTTTACAGCATGTCAATACAGAACACATGAAGTAGGGCTTGCTACCATGGCTACCACTGCAGGCACAGTTGGCTGGTAAAATGCTGAAAAAGGATGCATCACCATGACCATGGAAAAGAGAGGGACTCAACTCAACAGATCTCAGAACAGATTCAAAATGCAAGACCATCACAACACCAGCATTTTAATAACTAACAGGTCTAAATGAGTCTGCAGCATTTTTCAGTTGCGTGTGTGCTCTGGGGACCTCATGTTTTATTACTTTATTTAACGATTATCTCATTTCCAGCAGAAAATGATATTTCCAGCGTTGTCTCTGCCATTCAATCACATAAACATAAAAACCTAAACAGGTCTTTAACAACATAAGGTCCACTGACTATCTTTTAATTTGATCAAAATCATTTTTTTCACATTTTTCCTCCATCCATTGATGAAGACAGTGGGATGTGAGTGAAAGATCTGGAAAAACTCCTTCAACCCCATGTCACATGTTTTCAGTAACAGATGGAGGCAAAATCAGAACAAAAACTCCATCCTTTGATGAAGTCCTTTAGACATAGTTTAAAGTTCCAGAAAAAGCTAGTCAGTGGACCTTGAGTTGACATTATTCTGTCAAACTACTATTTCAAAGTCAAGACAGCAGTTGACATTCTGGAGCTTTTAGTCATATCACATGATCTTCTTATTAATGAACCTGGTGGTGACTGTTTTTATTAACTGCTGTTTCCATGGGAACAAATACAATTCCACACTGTTTCTGTTGTTGTCAGCGAGGAAAACAAAGGAAAAGTTGGCAGGATAAATGATTATCAATAATGATTCATGCTCTGGCTACTTTAACTCACACCTCACAGTCAGAGCTTTGATTCTGACTCATCTGATTTCCATCTTTACAAGAAAACTGTTTCTGTCTTTACTATTACATTCGACCAGATTTGTCAGAACCTGCCGTTTGCTGACTCATAATTGCTAATGAAAGACATAAAAACTACAAATAACAGAACAGCAGGAAGTTCATTTAGGTACATTAAGTCCAACTGTGTTCAGTGAAGCAGATGATAGGCAGACCTGCACCATTAAACCTGTGCTGGATTCATCCACACACAGACACATGTCAGTGATGAAAACATGAGACTTCACAGTTCTGGATTTAAGATATTTGATTCTAACTCAGCAACTTCAAACACAAAGCGTGGCTGCCATCTATGGATCGCTGCTCCCATTCCTCTCACACTTAAGGAAATGACAGTTCCTCCATCCCCTCTAAAATGGCATTGACACACACACACACACACGCACGCACACACACACACACACACACACACACCCCACTCAACCACAATTAGGTCACATCTGCCACAGTGTGCCAGGAAAAAGCATTCTGTCACTGTGTATTTCCAGACAGGCAGCAGGAGAGTGGATGAACAGATGAGAGACACGTTCACTTACTGTCAGTACACAACACACATGGATGGATCTGCACAGAAATAAAGACAACGACGATGTAATGACAAAGCATATTTACACACACACAAAGACACACACACAAGCTTCCCAGCAGTATTAGTATCTGAAGAGGACAGACATGGAAAAATGTCGGCAGAAGATCAGTCTCCATGAACACACAGCTCATCCTCCACTGCTCTGTGTGTGTGACACGTGTGTGTGGTGAATAATTGATAAAGAGAAGTGCAGCAGAATGTAAAGGAACTGAAGAGGGGATGATGGAGCTCATGCATCATTAAGAGAGGCTCCCTCCCACACACACACACACACACACACACACACACACACACACTAAAGCTTTGTCATCCAGGAGGCCATTATCTGATGAAGGTCAGAGAGGGAGAGCGACAGACCCGATAGGGGAGGGCGATCTGGCCAAACATTATATGACAATCTTTCTTGGTAGAAACGCAATCCAGAATCTGCATATCCCCACAGAGTTAGATGAACTCATATGATCTCATGTGATCACATGATTACTTGTGCATATGGTCGCCTGGACACAAAACTTGTTCCTTCAACTTAAGGCTAAAGGCCCAACTCACAGATCTCTGCATCTTTTTCCCAGTCAGACTGTATTCTGAAAGTCCTGACCGGAAGTTGTGATCTGTATCTTTGACTCTTTCGGGTGTATGTCCACTAGCCGCTATTCTTCGCCCACGATGCTGTCTTCTGTTTACAAATTGTGTCACAACCAATCACACCTTTTGCTTAGTTTGTATGGAATATTTGTTTTGGCCAGCACTGTTATTTATTTATTTATTTATGTATGAGGTGCAACATGTACATATCTTAATTAGGAAGATCAGTCGCTGCCCCGGCCTGTCCCACTTTGTATTTCGTCCCACGGCTCGCAGAGGCTGTTGTCGCCAGCTGCAGTTAGCCAGCTAACTGTTGAACTGCTAACAGTGGGCTGGTTAGCAGTGATTGAACTTTTAAAGTTAAATATCTAAATAAAGCACCTTTTAATGACACTATCTGTATGGTTCTTCTGAAAAGTAGATCATATACCAAAGTAAGATCGTCCACAATAT